CAGCTCACCAGGGGCTCATTGTTTCTTCAATTCTCTTTTCAATCATCGCAGAGAAATGCTGTCCACCCAGAGCAGCCCCTACAAGACCCTGGAGAGGCGGCCCCCGGGAGGACGCAGCATGCCCACCACGCCCGTGCTCACCCGCAATGCCTACAGCAGCACCCACCTGGAGTAAGTGCCTTGCTCCCTGGCTCTGCCGGTGACGGCCGCCTGGCTGTGCTTTGGGTTTTCTGATCACTCGGAGGACTTTCTGCCGACGGGCCTCGACCGTTCCTCCACGTTTTCTGCTGGTGTGCGGTCTCTGCTGTGTCCGCTGAGAACGTGCACATCTTTTATTTCCCCAGCAGACAAGGCCCTTCATTTTTCAAGGGGGAGGAGATGGATCACAATAGGGGCCGCGTGTTGAAGTGTCTGCCGGGTGCCTACGGAGTGCCTTACGTGGGCGATGTGATCAGCTACTCCACGACCAGCCTATGGTGCAGTGGTGTTAGGTGCGGCTTTCATCTCGTTTTACAGACAGAAGCAGGACGGGGGCGGGCCAAGTGTCATGCCCAAGCTCACGCGGCTTGGAGGCAGCAGCTCCGATGTCTCTGCCTTCCGGGACCCTGCTGCCCGGCATGGGTGTCCCCGGCTGGTCTCACCCACCCCCGATGTCCTGTTGGAAGGGAGCCCTCCCCAGACTCCTCAAGGGTCTTTTCTGGTTTGGAAGCTTGTTCCCTCCCCTTGAGGAGCGACAGGCTGGCACCAGTGACCCACCGCAGCTCTTTGACCCTTTGACTGTGGACACGCACCGGGGTGCGGCCCCGTGGACTAGGCACCCAGGGAGACTCTGTAGTGCGGTCAGCCAGGGCCTCAGAGCCCCTTTTCTCTGACCCATTTGCCTGCTTCTCTTCCAGACCGGAATCTTCCTCTCAGCACTGCCGCCTTCGAAGCGGGAGCCTCGAGTCCCGATCCCACCTGCTGTCCGAGACGGACGACGACAAGCCGTTCCTCTCCCTCTCCAAATCCCAAAGAAGCAGCAGCACCGAGGTGCTGGACGACGGGTCCTCGCACACCAGCCAGTCCAGCACCGAGTACTACTGCGTGACGCCCACCGCGGGCCCCTACTACACCACCCAGACCCTGGACACGCGCACACGGGGCCGGAGAAGGTCCAAGAAGCAGCACATGTGCACCTCGAGCTCGGGAAGCATGCCCAACCTGGCCCAAAAGGACACCTCGCGGACCGGCCTCTACGGCCGGAGCCAGGAGCTGCCCTCGGGCTACTACGTGGCCGGGTCCGCGCCCTACGCCGAGTGCGACCTCTACTACGCGGGCTGTGTCTACGAGAACGACACGGAGGGACACTACAGCGTCAACCCTTCCTACCGCTCCTCGGCGCACTACGGCTACGACCGCCAGAGGGACTACTGCAGGTCCTTCCACGAGGACGAGGTGGACCGCGCGCCCCACAACCCCTACGCCACCCTGCGGCTGCCCAGGAAGGCGGCCGTGAAGTCCGAGCACATCACCAAGAACATCCACAAGGCCCTGGTCGCCGAGCACCTGCGCGGCTGGTACCAGCGGGCCTCGGGGCAGAAGGATCCGGGGCACAGCCCGCAGACCAGCTTCGACTCGGACAGGGGCTCCCAGCGATGCCTGGGCTTCCCCGGGCTGCAGGTGCCCTGCTCCCCGAGCAGCCGAGCGTCGTCCTACACCTCAGGTAAGAGCCCGCGGGAGCTCAGGCCACCTGGGTCAAGGCCGCCAGGCTCCCCAACCCTGACCCACTCCTTTCCAGGAAACCCACCACCCCGGGGGTCACACCCCTTGGAATGTCCCCTCCTGAGCCTGAAGTGACCTGCAGGCTCAGCAGACACCTACTGAACACCTTGCACCTGCGTCCCTCCTGGGTCTTTCGTTGATACCCGTATCTCTAAATGTGTTGGGTTGTTGACGTTGGGCATTTTAAAAGGAACAGAGGGAACCTTTCAGGTGAGCAGAAAACACTAGGAGTTCAGATCTGTCCCCGTTCACCACTAAGACTGGGTCAGGACTATCTCAGGGCTCGCTCTGCTAGAGGAGAGAGGGTCCCTTCAGACCCCAGAGCTGTGGGACCTAGCTGCTTCTTATGCTAATGTTGCTGAAGGACCCACTGCACAGACCTCCTGGGTGCAGGGCTCCCACAGCAATGAGCAGGCACCTGCCGTGTGCCCAGGGCTCCTGGCCTTGGGGTGCTCGGAGCCTGCTCAGCAGAATGTGGGAAAATCAAGCATGTTTTAAACTTAAGGGATGAGTGCATTCTCAAAGTCCACGGAAAACTGAGGTCGTGAGTTCTGCCTTTTCCCCTAAGTTGACACCTACCTGCATGCGTCACGGTGTGGGGATTCCCGAGCCGATGACTAGTCAGTCTGAACTGCACCTTTAAAAGTTTCCCAGGTGTGTTGACAAGAGGTGTTGCCATGGAGATGTCTGCAGGACTTTGGACTTCCGCTCAGGCTGTCCCGTCCTGACTGCACCTAACACATCAAAGGGCTCCTCTCCTGTCTCTGGGTATTGATGGCTCGGCCTGAGAAAACCGTTCGGGGTGTTACATGGGTTCCCAGACCAAACCTAGGCAGAGTCCCACAGGCCGAAAGCCAGCAAGGAAGGAGAGATACTTGGGACGGGCACGGGGTCACCGGGCTGCCCGGGGAGACGCAGGTGTACCTCCGGGTCCCACGAAGTTCCCTGGGCACTTCGCATACTCTCACCTCCGTGGGTGCAGCAGAGGTGGGCTTGGTATTGGTCTGATTTTGCAGGGTCGGCAGCTCCGTCTGGAGAGTTTCAATGACCTGCCCAAGACTCAAAGCTGGTGCGTGGCAGACCAGGGTTCTCCCAGCCTGACAGCGTAAGCACCAACCTCAGAGCCTCCACTGAGAGTTTGGAATCCTTCTTGGAAACTCAAAGCGAGAGTCTTCCGTCTGTCGGTCAAAACCACGTGGCCCCAAGGGCCACAGAGGAGGTCCCAGAGGTGTCTATCTCGGGTGCTTCATGGGTGTGAAAGAAGAGGGTAGGTCAGTTGCAGGAACCAAAGCAGAAGCAAGCAGGATGTGCTGGACTTCTGAGTCTTGGGCGACCACAGGCACTGTGCCCAGGGCGTATGTCCCAGGGAGGGGACAGGACTGGTTTCATGGGGCCCCATCGCCCAGTGACATGGCTTCCAAATTGCATCCTGTCATATTCCAGCTCCTCCTTCTGAGAAGCTAACCCTCCTCCTTCTGAGTGCCAGGCCCCCACTTTTTAAGACAAAGAAAGTACCTTGATGTTGCTGGCATCCAGCGTCACCTCAGGCTAAGGAACAGTCAGGTCCCAACAGGTCAACTGGCAGAGAAGGCTGTGCCCCAAAGGCCTCCCACAGATTCAGACTCGTCCTCCTGCTTACACCAGAAGCCTGTGTTGAACCAGCGCAGGCTGCCAACGAAGATTCTCTCCATATCTGAGAGGCTTCCATCCCTTACCTTTGGGTTGATTTTTTAAAAATATTTTAATTGAAAATCTGTTCCATGTTTTTTATGGGTGCACTGTAGTTGTATGAGATGGTGGGACTTGTGGTCTCACGTGCCCACGGCGTATCCATGTGATTTGCTCGGTATCAGTCTCCTGCCCTCTCCTCGTCCCTCCACTGACCCACCTTTGGTTTTCATGGACTCTCCCCTTTCTTTTCCTTGCCTTGGTACAGTGTCCGCACACGGGAGAAAGCATCTGAGCCTCACTTTTCGAGTTCAGCTTATTTCACTTAACATGATGTTCTCAAGATCCATTTTTCCTGAAAAACGACACGGGGATTCCATTTTTCTTTATGGCTGAATACAACTCCGTTGGTTATCTGTACCACGTTTTCTTTATCCATTCATCCACTGACGGACACCTTGGCTGGTTCTGTGGTTTGGCTCTTATGAATGGTGCTGCTGTGAACGTGGGTGTGTGTGTGTGTGTGTGTGTATGGTGAGATGCCCTTAATTCTTCAGGGTAAATACTCAGGAGAGGTACAGCTGGGTCATCTGGTGGGTTCCACGACTAGCCTTTTGAGGAGCCTCCATACCGACATCCGTAGTGGTTGTACTGACTTATAATTCCACCAACAGTGTAAATGTGTTCCCTTTTCTCCACATCCTCTCCGGCACTTACTATGATCTGTACGATTGATAACCGCCATTCTGACTGGTGTGAGATGAAATCTCAGTGTGGTTTTGATTTGCATGTCTCTAATTATAATGACATGGAGCTTTTTAAAATATATTTGTTGGCCGTCAGTATTTCTTCTTTCGGGAATCATCTGTTTAGCTCATTTGTCCATTTGCCTGAGAAAACCTACCTGTTGTTCACAGACGTGTATTGAAATCATCTAATATTAATTTAACTTTTTATTTCCTTCTCTTGTTTAATTGCTTTGGCTACAGTTTCTAGTGCTGTATCAAGTAGGAGTGGTGAGAGTGGACATCTTTGTCTTGCGCTCGATTTTAAAGAAAACGGTTTCCGTCTTTCTCCATTCACTATGATGTTGGCTTTGGGTTTGTTGTGTATAGTCTTTATGATGTTGAGGTAGGTTCCTTCTATCCCCAGTTTCTTCCATGTTTTTATCATGAATGAATGGGTGCTAAGCTTTGTCAAGGGCTTTCTCACATCTATTGAGATAACTATGGTTTTTGTCCTTGATCCTACTTAGGTGGAGAGTTACATTTATCAATGTGTGAATGCTACCATACTCGCACCCCGACATCCCTGAGATAAAACCAACTTGGTCATGATGTGCAATCCTCTTAATACGTTGTTGAATATGACTTGCTACTATTTTATTAAAGATGTTTGCATCTAAGTTCATCAGGGATATTGGCCTGTAGTTTTCCTCGATATGTCCCTTATCTGGTTTTGGTATGAATTCATACGTTTTCTACTCTTTCCTGTTTCATGCAGTGATTTGAAGAACATTAGATCTTCTTTAAAGGTCAGGGAGAATCCAGCTGCGAATCCTCCTGGCTGTGGACTTTCCTTTCTTGACAGGCCTTTTGTTATTGATTGTATCTCATTGCTAGTTATTGCTCTGCTTAGGATTTTATTGACAGCTATCATTTGTGCATGTGTGTGAGTGTGCATGTGTTTGTGTGAGTCTGGGTGTATGTGTAGGGATGGCACCTGGGATAAGCAAGTACTATACCACTGAGCTCCATTCCTAGCCCTTTTAATTTTTTTTTTATTTTGAGATAGGGTCTTGCTTAGTTGCCTAAGCTGACTTTGAACTTGTGATCCTCCTGCCTCAGCCTCCTAAATTGCTGGGATTATAGGCATGCACTACTGTGCCCCCAAATAGTTACCATTTCTTGAGTGGCTTACTCTGTAGCCATCAGACAGCGCACTAAAGATGTTCATAATTATCTTATTTAATCATGGTGTTATAGGTATACCGAATATATGTTATTAACCTCACTCCACAGATGAGAAAACTAAGGCTTAAAGAGGGTAGGCTATTTGCCCAGTGTCACTTGGTCATTTCATCCCCAAATTAGAATAGGAGCTCTCTGGATTCCAAGTTCTGGCTTGGCTGCAACTGTGGCTCAGTGGTAGAGCACGTGCTCGGCCCAGGCAACATCCTGGGGTCAGTCCCCAGCGTGGACAATGTCTACTCTCCACACAGCTGGTCATCGCATGCTTCTAAGTGACCCAAACAGTTTTCACTGTGAATGCTTCAACTAATTTTGTCTCTTTCCATTCTGATTTCCAGTGTCTTCTACAAACACTTCTGGGAACTGGAGGACCCAGTTAACCATAGGGCTCTCGGAATATGAGACTCCCACCCATCCGTACACCAGCTGCTACGGCACGGTGTACCATCCTTTGCCCTCGCCCAGCAGGTAAGGGGAAGCTGTGCTTAAATGCCTCGTCCTGTTCAAAAGAAGCCAGGGATCCTACCCCACCTCGTGAATGTTAAACCACCTAACTCGGGGGTTGCTAAACTGCAGCCTGCCGGCCAAACCCAGTTTTGGCAAGATGGCATTTTTATTGGAAAGTATCCTTGCTCACTCATTTCTATGTTAGCTGTGGCCATTCTTGCATAGCAAGGACAGAGCTGAAAAGCCCGGAAAGACAGCATATGACCAGCAAAGCCAAGAAATGTGGCCCCTTCAAGGAAAACTATCCTGAGCACCAAATGGTTGATTCAGACGCTGCCCTGGTCTTAGAGTCTGTATGCAAAATGCTGAGGCTGAGGGGGTTTTGCGGTGGTGGCGGTGGTTTTTGGTTTTGTTTTGTTAAGGCAGTCCTTGAAACTGTGTTAGTGACAACGTCCACTTGTCTCTTCTGTAACTCTGCCGGAATTGTAAGTCCACTCCAGAAGGCTGCTTATCCCAAGGTGCCCACAGATAGTCAGCTGGATGCCAGCCATTCACTCCTGTGAGTGTCGGACCCGATGTTCCACGAAGCCACGGGCCCTATCCTCTCGGTCTTCCAAAGCAGTTCTTGGTAAATGTGAGAGGAAGCACCCAAGAACCATGGGTTTAAAGAACTGCACACTCTGAAATCCCGTGGTTTTCCATTCTTACTGTGTGCGAGGGACGAATTCCATTGGGACAGGTCATTTCTCCTTCTTTGTCACAAATTATAACCCAAACCCAGGTGCCAAGAAGTGCTGAGCCCATGGGGGGTTTTCAGAAACTTTGGTTTGTCTTCTTTAAGACTGCTTCAGGCAGAAGAGACTCGCAGGGACCGTTAACATCTGCAGGGCAATGTCCTCGCGAATTGCAGAGGTTACCTCTTATTAAGGCCCGTAGGGTGGCAAGCGAACGGCAGATATTCAACCCCCAAACCTTGTTTGTGTTCCTCCACGTTCAGGGAGAGTTTTTCTTGGCTTGAGATGTTGAGCCAATTGTCTCAGCTTAAACAAAGGGTGCGCTCAAAATAGACTGCTAATGAAAATATGCTTCAGAGGACGGTCTGGTGGCTCGGGCTTGTCTGAATACTACTCCATCAGGAGTTAGGAGCAAGAACCCCAATACCCGGCCCATGTTGGGGCTGGACCTTCCCAGGGCAGGTCTAAGCACCGTCGCGGTACAGTTGCAGATAGTCTCCTTGTTTCTCTGATTTCACCATCTTCTCTCTTGACCCAGTGTATAAAGACAGCCCCGCCGTCTTTCACATCTCTTTTACCGGACTCAGGAAGTGCTCAGCATTTTTAGAGAAAAGCCTGTTTTTCCCAAGTCTGCCTGTGTGTCTCAGGCAGCTGTGTGGAGGAGTCCCTGTTTTCAGAGTTCATAATGCACAGGAAGCTCGGAGCTATTTAAAGGCCCTATTGTATGTGTGTATGCATACATGAGCTCAGGGTGGGAGCTCGGCACATAATAAAGGGATTGATAATCGTCCATCCATCATTCCGCCACCCAGAGACAGCAGCTGTTTGGCATATTTTTCCCATTTTTCTGTACCAGTTCTAACAAGGTATTAAATGATTTTGTAGGTGCATTTTTCACATGTCCTAGGAAACTCCATATCCCATTTTTTAAACTTAACATCATAACGTAACTTTTTTTTAAAATTCTTTAAATCTTCTTTTATATACTGATATGATTTTCTGATTAATGAATATAGCCTTCTTTCTTTAAAAGCTCCCAAATTTTTGAACAGTGGGATATTGCTTAGTTCTTTCTTCCCTTTTCAATCATCAGTAATGCTGCTATGAATGTCTCTGTGCAAAATATTTGTCTGGATTCCAGATTATTTCCTTAGCATTTCAAATGCAGAGCTAATGGGTTAAACTGGAAAGTGTATTTTTTATTTTCTTTAGTTGTCATTGTGCCTTTATTTCATTTATTTATATGCGGTGCTGAGAATCGGACCCAGTGCCTCACACATGCTAGGCAAGTGCTCCACCACTGAGCCACAGCCCCAGCCCTGGAAAGTGTATTTTTTAAGCTCCAGATTCACAGGAAGTTTGGCCCACGTCCCCTCCCAACTGCAGAGAGGTAGCAGTCCCTACGTCGACCTGCATGTTTATGGAGGATTTTTAATCAGGATGCAATCCAATCAGTTTAATTGACTAACAAAGCAGGTGTGATTGTATGTGTTGTTTTTATGAAAATGTGATTTTTAAAATAAGAGACGTAATAAGTTCCAAGATCCTGATGAGAGACTTTAGATTTTCCTTTTAGCTGACGATGTGAAATACTTGGCAACATATCAGTTTTGTTTTTTTTTAAAATAAATCAGGAGTGCATTATTTAGAGACTCTTCCCCCAAAGTATCCACGTCTTAGTCCTGTGGAAAGCTATGAAGCTTTACCAATACACCCTTTCTGCCCAGTAGGACTTGGTATAGGGGTAACCGGTATAAACCTTCCCATGCAGAAATGCCGGAAGCTCTTGTGTGAAAGAGTATGTAATACAGTCACTTCCTCGGCTCTGCGACTTCGCTGCACCCTGTGTTTGGGAATAACTTCTGTTCTTTCCCTTCCTGTTTCCCTCTCCCTCTCCCCGCCCTGTCTAACTGCCCGCCACTAGGCAGAACCCAGGGCCTCTGTCCCGGAGCCTGGTGGTGTCTCCAGAGATGAGATCAGTTTTGCATTCCCTCTTGCTAAGCGTAGCCAGCGGTAGTAAGTACAGCCCCTGACGGTGTGTGTGGCTGCTTGCGTAGCTGCTGTTGTGCTTGCTCTGATGTGTACAGTTACGTTCTTCCAGACTTTACCACCCATACTAAAGGATGTTGAGATTTCAAGTAGAAGCCTGCTAACCCTCTAACCTGTTTTAACCTTCCGTGACAGTCACGTGGTTTGGCTTATCAGAATGGTTTGTGTATCGGGGTGTGCTTATGTGACCTCATATCTTCCACGGGGGCCTACGGTTTTTCCACGTGATGTGGTTTCCTGGGTCACCGCCATGTCATACTAGACCCATAAACCCCTGGGAGGTAGAGAGGGCCCCAAGGTGTCTCTGCTGCCTTTAGACACATTCCTTCATTTTTTAAAAAAGTTAAAAAACATGACTTTTGAAGTTTTAAGTGAGCATGCGTCCAAGATTTATTTCACCTATCATCAGTCGTGGAGCTAGCAGATGATTCATGCTGGTTCAAAGAGAATTCCAGACAATGAAAGAAACATCGCTGGAATAAGGTTACTAAAGTTACCCCAAACTAGTTAAAACTGTAACCCATAGTCTTCCCTACCACTTCTTCCTGACAAACACCTACAAGTGAGTGTGTGATCCATGCCCTCGGGGTCTAGGTCAATGGCAGACGTAAGCCCAGCAATGGCACCTGTCCCAGGAATGGAAGGCCCCCTTTGTGGGCCCGACAGACCCTGGTCCCAGTATGACGGAGATGGCTGCAGTCCTCCCCTCAATCTCAGTCTCCCAGAACTGGAAACCCTTGCTCAGTGGTGCCCGCTACTAACGACTTTGAGTACCGCCGTCCGTGTGCCCACAAGTCCTAACTGTTTGGTTCTTCTACAGACAGTACCCAGAGGCCCACCAACTGGACGGTGCAGCTGGGCCCGGGCTGGAGGGCGGCCTGGAGAGCGGGGAGCAGAGGCTGTACTGGCACGAAGAGTCAAAGCCTGGGACATTAGTCTGACCTGCCGTCGGAGCTCTCTGCCGAGCCTGCGTCTCACCCTGGTGTGCCTTGCAAGATGTGCGTGTCTCCCCGGCAGGCTGTGGGCTCCAGAGACCCGAGGGGGCCCAGGCTGCCTGCAAAGCAAATCCCTGCAGCCCAGGCGCCCTGCTCCGGGTCCAGGCCCACCCGGGGCCCCTGCAGGACAGGACTCCGCCGGACGCTTCGGGAAGGAGTAAATCGACCAAGGCAGACTCAAAAACCATGACTGTGTTCAGGGAGGGCGACCCCTGGGCGGGCAGGCCAGGGTTTCAGAGCACAATGGAGAATGCAGAAGGAAGGGAAACCGGGGGTCCTGGGCCGCGCGCGGCTCATCGGCAGCGTGACCTTGTGATCCTCGGAGAGGAGCCTGCCGTGGGGACACGGACATGAACCATGTAGACAGTATTGGAAAATTACTTGAAGAGAAGCTGGGTTTTCATGAAGTTCCGAGTGCGTGTAAATGTGTTTAGGCTGTTGTGAAGAGTGCCCCTTTTCAAAGCACCACGTCGTGGGTTCTGGACAGACACTGCCGTCGCGTCCTGCGAGGTGACTTCTGGTAGCCACGGGGGGGAGGGGGATGAAGCAGGCCCCCCCTGCACCAGAGTCGGCCTTGAGGGCTTTCTAAGGTACCGCGTCCCGGAGCACCTGCTTTCTTCCCCGTCCTCGGGCATGATGAGCGCTTCTTGTCCAGGCTGGGGACCCCCCATCTTGCCGGTCGGTCGTGTGAAAGAGTAGACTCCGTGCGGAGCGTTTTCACGATCAAGAGATCGAAAAAGTATTCTCAGTGACACAGAAAGGGCCCCAGACAGTCACGAAACAAAACAAAAAGCCACATCATCGTAGGTGAACCGTGTGCCTTAAGATGGTGAACCTTAGCCGGGCGCGGTGGCCCACGCCTGTCATCCCGGCGGTTCAGGAGGCTGAGGCAGTAGGATCACGAGTTCAAAGCCAGCCTCCGCAAAAAGCGAGGTGCTAAGCAACTCGGTGAGACCCTGTCTCTAAATAAAATACAAAAAATAGGACTAGGGATGTGGCTCTGGGGTCCAGTGCTCCTGAGTTCAATCCCCAGTACCCACCCCCCAAAAGGAAAAAAAAAGATGGTGAACCTGAGCGAATTCCACATTGTCCACATCCCACCCGCAGTTCCATATCCCCCAGTGTCACAAACAAGGTTGACATAGATTGAACTCTGAGGCTAGATCTACCTCCTACCTTCCCAGGAAGAACCGATTGGCTGTGTTTTATTGTAGGGTTGGCTGGTTTGTTGAACACACGATTTCCGTCTTCCAGAGCGATCGTCACCCACCCTTACTGTGCTTCACAATCCCACCCACGGTGCTCCTGGACCCTCCCCTTTTCTACAAGTCTCTTGTTCATATTGTGAATAGAAACGTTTCTGAACAACTTTTTTTGCAACAGTTTTTCTATCCATATTCCCAAAGCATGTAATATCTACATAAAAAACTGATTTGTTAAACCGGTCCTTAGTCATTTGTATCATTAGAAATGAAGTCTGGGGGGAAAAATTTGGAGGAGGAAAAAAAAAAAAAAACACAAGCACAATAATAATAATAATAACTTATTCCTTTTTTCATATTTGTATAGCCTTCTAGATGCAGAAATGCCCTTTCGCCTATTCTTTTACTGTTCTGACTTTTTAAGACCTATTATTTTTTTACGTAGGTCAATAAACTCAAGGTGTGCTACTGAACATGTCTGCGCATCCTTCCGTGTATGTCGGGGCTCCGCCGGGGCAGTTTCGTGCACCCCGCTTCAACGCTGGGCGGGATTTCGGGGTTGTTAGTATTGGACCCTGAGGTGCACATGGCTTTGTATTTACCTCTGGAAGCAGGGTTCCCCTGGTTGGTGGCACGTCCTGGCTCGGCAGCAAGGTAGTTCCTTCTCGGTGATTCAGGGCAGCTCTGTGGGTGACATAAAGCCGCCTCCGCCTGCGTGAGATACACCAAGTGGACGGAGGCTTCCCTACCTTGGCCCTGTGGAGTCGCATCCTAGCAAGTGACTCACACGCGGTTCAGAGACTGGCAAACGAGCCTCATCAACTCAAGAGACCACTGCGTTTGACATCTTTTTATCCTGCTCAGTGGAGAGGATAGTCGGAACGGGAAATGGATTGTAGGAAGAGCATGTCTATTTCTCAAATGTCTCACATGAAAATAACCTTTTCCTGTCCAATCAGTGGTACGGTCAGAATTGCAAGCCCACCTTGCAAGAGCACCGGAACTCGGGGTCCCAAAGGGGGACCCAGAGGGTGTAGCATTGGAAGCATGGCAGTCTGCTGGGGGATCCCCTGTCTGTTCCAAAAGACGAGATTGTCCACCACGTTGATGAGTTTATTAAGAGCAAAACGTGGCAAATGCCAAGTTCTCCAACACAGACCTCCCGATTCATTGCAAAACGTCCTATCCACATGGTGTAAATCTCAAACACAAACCTGAAAAAGCAAAGACATAAAAGAAAAAGGCAATTGTGCGGTGTGGGCCTCACGAAAAGAGCAATGGCTCGTTTATCATATATCAAATTTGAATTTTTTCCATGTGTGATTTTTTTTTTTAATGTAGCATCATAGTATGTACATTCCTGAAATTTGTTTTCCCCCTATTTGGGGCCTCTCTATGAATACATTTTGAGCTACTTCAGAAAGCTCTATCTTTTACAAGGTGGATTTTTTTTTAAATTGCCTCTCTTCCCTTATATTTTTTTCTTACACCTGAAAAAATTCTCCCTTGTACTCATGAAAACATAATGGTCGTAAGCAGGAAGGAGCACGGAGCGGTTCTGCCCTGTCGGTTTTGCCCACTGTGCCTCTCAAAACTCTCAGTGGTAAGAGACCAGATTTTAAAACGTCCAGTGCATGGCGAACCTCTTGTTTTACAAAAAAGTGGAATAAGCTGAATTACTTGGAAAAAAGGTTAACTCAGAAAAGAGTCAAAGTGGCTCGGTAATTAATGGTGATTAAACCGACTTCTGTCAGACTCCACATGGAAGTACTCTGCCAAGCACTCTGGAGGTGCTCCCCCGGTTTCTGCACTTCCTTACCCTGAATTCCAGGAACCAAGTTTTCAGACCACACTCGCTGCTGCTGCCTGGAAGTCCACCCAGGTAAGAGCAAGTTGGGGGCTGTCCTTGGTAACCCTGCAGGGCTGGGGACACCCTGATTTCCATAAGGAAAAGGCTCATTGGAGCCCGGAGGATAACAGAGGACTCCCTGTCCCCCCCGTCCAGGCTCTGCCGACCCCTCACCTTCTGTCTCCATTCGCCACCCTTGCCTCCGGGTTCCCCCGGGTCCTTCCTCCTCCTCCTCCTCCTCCTCGGCGTCCCCTCTAGCCCACCCTTGTCCACCCGGGGACAGACAGAAGGCGGCCTGGGCTGCTGCCCGAGAGCTGCTAATGCCCAGCCCTGCTCTACGTGTGCCAGGCCAGGTGCACAGGTGCTCGCAGTGTAGCGGCTCACTTGGTCCCCACAGCAGGCCAGCGAGGAGTGGGGGGCTACAAACCCCCTTCTACGGGCCAAGAATCCAAATCCAGGAACCGGCAGGGCCAGGAGAAGAGGAGGAAGGAGATCCGAAACCGCCGCAGGCTGAGGGCTCCCGATGGGGGATCCAAGAGGATCCAACTCTGGTGCCCCAGGGGGAAAAGCCCTGCAGCTTTGCTTCATGCACAAAACTGTTTCTAAGAATGGTATAAAGTCACTTTCCAGTGAGGCCCTCAAGTAGATAGACAATACAAATGAGTTTCATGTTTGGTCTCCGTTCTTCTCCCCAAGATATCTCATTATGAATACGCAGCTATTGCAAAAAAAAAAAAAAAAAAAAATTTTAGATCTGAACTCTGAGACATTTCTTGGCCCAAGCATTTTGTTCTGTTTTGTTTTCATTTTTTTTTTCTTCTGCATTCTAGTCGAGCACAATGGCGGGTGGGATTCCCTGTTACGCATTCATCCACGCACACAATATAATCTGGCCCACATTGTTACCCAGGACTGCCCCCTTCCCTCCCGCCCTCTCTCCGCCCTCCCTCCCGGTCCCTTGTCCTCCAGGCCCAAGCCTGTTGGGTAAGAGATGCTGAACCTGTGATATACCTCACAGAAAGGGCTCCCAGTGGGTCAGTGACAGCCGGCTCAGCCACCTCTCCTGGCTCATCATCACTTAAAGACAACAGGCCCCGATTTCTTTTGTTTACCAAGGGGCAGAGCAAGGTCACCCTGACGCAGATGCTGCCAGGCCTGAATTATTTATTCCTGCATGAGCTCATCCGCAGACCTAGTACCCCTCTGAAGGTCTTTCCTAGTCCATAAAATGTCTTACACTGGTGAGGTACTTGTTACGATCACAGATGACCATAATGAACTAAGTATTGATCAGCTCTGAAACCATCCATTGATCCTTCCCTGCTTTTGACTGCCCAGGGCAGCGGGACGCTGTGAAATAGGACGTGCTTCCCGGGGCCCCCAGAAACCGTCCTGGAACTGCTCTGGGACGCCGTGCTGGCGCCGGGCCGTGCCGCGGATTCTGGGTAGCCTCCCCAAGCTCACGGCCCAGGGAGGGAGAAACACACACCTGCAAAGCCTCTGGGCTTTTTTGACAGGGGATGAAGGGGCGTGAGTGACACCTGGAATCAGGAGACACCAGGGGCTCCGCGGAAGGAAGAGCCGATCAAGACCAAGGACAGCAGCTTTCTAGGCAGGAGAGTGGTGGACGTCACCAGGGCTGTCGGTGCAGGAGACCTGGCAGTTTTAGAAACTCAGAGAAGCAGCGGCCAGGCTCTGCCTGAGTCGAGGAGAGCCGGTCACCGGAAAGCCGCTGTCTCCAAAGTCCCAACGGTGGGTCACCCCCTGTGGCCTCATTCAGTCCCTCAGAAAAAGGGGTCTCACCCTCCCATCAGGATGGAGGGGACTGTCCGGGCCCTTGGTTCCATGACCACACACACACACACACACACACACACACATACTGTAAAGCTAAACTCACCCCCGTCTCTGGGCCCTACATCTCCTGCTCTTAAGGGGCGGGGGCTGCTGGGGATGGAACCAGAGGCGCCTCTACCTGAGCCCCATCCCCAGCCCTTTTCAATTTTGTTTTGAGACGGGACCCTGCTAACTTGCCCAGGCTGGCCTTGAACTTGTGATGTCCTGAGTCAGCCTCCTGCGTCACTGGGATGACAGGTGTGGTCACGCACCCAACCACATCGGTGCTCTTTATGAACCACAACATTGTACCCAAAGCAGTTGCTCAGCCACGCAGAGGGACATGCACAACTGCAGTCCCCGCTGCTCAGGAGGCTGAGGTGGGAGGATCTCCTGGGCCCAGGGGTTGCAGGCCAGCTGGGCGAGAGAGTGAGAAGAAAGAGAGAGAGAGAAGGGGTGGAGGAGGAAGGGAGGAAGGAGGGAGGGAGGGGGATAGAGGGAGGGGGAAACCTTACCTCTCTTGCATAGAAACCTGTGGAGATGAAGAGGGAAGGAGTCAGCAGGAGAGCAGCCCAGGGGAGGCCTGGGGCAGGTGGAAAGGACAGCCCAGGGCAGCCTGCAGCACTGGGCTTTCAGGATGTGCCACTCGGGCAGGTTCCTGATCAGGTGTGGCCTGGAGATGACCCCTGATGAAGGGCTGGAGTGGACCCTGGCAGAGGGTGAGAAGGCTAGGTGGCCTCTGGGAGGTGCTGGCCCTTCCCCTCCCTCCCCAGGTCTCCAGGGAGCGCTCTGGCCCCTCCCCCTCCCTCCCCACGGCTCAGAGCTCTATCCTCGGGTGCCTCCTCCTCTCCAGGGAAGACTGGCTTCCCCAGAAGATCAAAGTCTGGGAAGACAGGCAGCCCGGGTCTGGGAAGGGCATCTCCCCAGCCCTTCAATTAGCCTGGGAGAGCCTCTGGGCGGCCGGTAGACAGTGTCTGCAGACGTCGCCCTCTCCATAAAGTGGTGGTTAGCGGTGTGGCTTTGAAGTCAGGCGGCCAGGTTGGACTCTCCCAGCCTCCCGCCGCTTGCTGGGCACTAGCAAGCACGGGTTTCCTGCCTGTCCTGGGCTCAGTTTCCTCTTAGTGCCCACCTCGCCAGGGCGTGGTGTACACTGCCCCAAACCAGGCATGGAACAGCACGACACTGGGTTCCTGGCAGGTGTGTCGTGCTATAAACTAGTTCCTAGAAAAGACACACACAAAAAAAATGGCGTGTCTGTTCCGGCTGTTTGCCCAAGTTCATAACTAGAAGGTACAAAGCCCGGGTTCCAAACCACAGGAGCATCAGACAGAGCCTTGGAGGAGTGCGAGTTCCTGCTCTAGAGCCCATGGTGGAGGGAGGCTGTGCAGAGCCCCGGCCCATCCAGGCCTTTTCCTGACCCTTGGGCCACACCTCTCCTCCAGGCCAGGACATGGACAGGCACCCTTGGGAGAGCCTGAGGGACACACCCCATGCCAGGCCCCTGGGGGGGGGTGGTGTCTGGCCTCACCCTGGGCTTAGCCCTGCTGCTAGCTCAAAGACCAGTTCCTGCCTTTCTGTGGCATAGACAGCTGGCCAGGACAGGCCAACGAAGAAACAAGAATCCAGTTCAATTTGAAATAGCTACAACTGCCCACTTTTTATAGTTTATTTATTTGAAAGCTGAATACAGGTCATTGAAGACATCCTGGAAAAAGCTGCATGCGGGGGACCAAACACATCTGGTAGATACAGGACACTGGGCAAGACAGGTGCCAGGTCCCTGCCAGG